ACCTCCCCAGGGGAGGGGCCAGCCACAACTTCTCTGACCAACCTGTTCCAGTGCCTCACCACCCTCAATGTAAAAAATTTCTTCCTTATATCTAATTGAAATCTCCCCTCCTTCAGTTTAAATCCATTGCCCCTTGTCCTATCACTACACGCCCTTGTAAAAAGTCCCTCTCCAGCTTTCTTGCAGGCCTCTTTGAGGTACTGGACGGCTGCTATAAGATCACCCGAGAGCCTTCTCTTCTCCAGGCTGAACAGTCCCAACTCTCTCAGCCTGTCTTCATAGCAGAGGTGCTCCAGCCCTCGGATCATCTTCGTGGCCCTCTTCTGGCCTTGCTCCAACAGCTCCATGTCCTTGTGTTGGGGACCCCAGAGATGAACGCAGTACTGCACGTGGGGTTTCACTGGAGCAGAGGGGCAGAATCCCTCCCTCGACCTGCTGCCCACACTGCTTTGGATGCAGCCCAGGACATGGTTGGCTTTCTGGGCTGCCAGTGCACGTTGCTGGCTCATGTTGAGCTTCTCATCAACCAACACCCCCAAGTCCTTCTCCTCAGAGCTGTTCTCCATCCATTCTCCGCCCAGCCTGTACTTGTGCTTGGGATTGCCCCAACCCATGTGCAGGACCTTTCACTTGGCCTTGTTGAACTTCACAAGGTTGTCACAGGCCACCTCTCCAGTCTGTCAAGGTCCCTCTGGATGGCATCCCTTCCCTCCAGCGTGTCCACCACACCACACAGCTTGGTGTCATCTGCAAACTTGCTGAGGCTGCACTCAATCCCACCATCCATGTCGTCGACAAAGATGTTACAGCACCGGGCCCAGTACTGCCCCCTGAGGAACACCACTTCTCACTGTTCTCCACTTGGACATCAAGTCTTTGACTGCAACTCTTTGAGTGCGACCATCCATCCAATTCTCTATCCACCGAGTGGTCCATCCTTCAAATCCACGTCTCTCCAGTTTAGGGAAAAGGTTGTCATGCGGGACGGTGTCAATTGCTTAGCACATGTCCAGGTAGACGATGTCAGTTGCTCTTCCCTTATCCACCAAAGCTGTAACCCCATCAGAGAAGGCCAGCAAGATTTGCCCTTAGTGAAACCATGTTGGCTGTCACCAATCACCCCCTTATTTTCCATGTGCCTTAGCACAGTCACCAGGAGGATCATAAACCAGAGAGTACTACCCCTGAGCTCAGTTGCTAGGGTTGTTAGTCTCGTGTTAATATAAACCATTCTCCTGACATCTGGATACACCTAATGTTCCATTATCACCATAAAAGACTGCTACACCTGAAAACTGCTTATACATGTAGGTGCTTAAGATGAGTTCGAACCAATTATCGTGGAAACACAGGTAGACAATGACCTACCTTCATCCACAGTAAACTGGCAGCTCTTGTCATTGTAGAAAAGAATTTTCTTCTTATCGGGGCGATTAACGAAGATGATCTGGTCCCCTAAAGCCTCAAAAACAAATGCGAAAGAACAACTCAAAATCACTTTGCTTCCAAGAATAAGGATTCCAATTTAAACAGACCGAGATCTTGCGCTACGAAAAGCCCAACAAACCAGAGAAGCAGCAAAGTAACCGGCAATGAAAAGCATCGAAAGCGGATGCTGGCGATAAGTACACCAAGAAAGCAAAGATGAGACATGGAGAACTGAGATCAAGGTATAAAAGCAGAACTAAACGCCTGTAGTCGGAACGCGGAAGATCAAGAATCTTTCGGGAGAAAGAGGTTTGACAGCTGTGCAGAGACATTGCCAAATCTGAAAGCGAAGGGCAATGCAAACAAAGGAAATGCAGAAACAGCTGCAACATTAGACATTCTGAAATAGCTTTTGAGTACTAAAAGAACAGAAACAACTCAGGAGGAAATTCTCTCTTAGCCACTCCCTCCCCTCCGAGGCACTAAGGGGAACGGGCTCCTCGCGGAATCGCGGACACGCACTACTCACCTTTATCGCTTTCTGTGCGTTGGGCAGCCCTTCCTCAATATCTTCTAAGAGGATTCCTCCCAGCCCTCGCTGGTCATGCTTGTCCAAGAGCCTGAGCAGAGCCTTTTTATCTTTCAAGTTGTACTTGGGCTTGAAAGCATACTTCCCATCTACAACTTCTATTTTGGGATTGTTGACTAGAGCCTGTAATAAGGACATAAATTTTAAACCTTGCAAAAGAGCACACGCTAGCACTGTTTTTTGTACTGTGCTTCCGAGCAGCTAGAGCACATCAGCCACACGTTATGGCTGCCAGTTTGGATGTTTGAGTTTGAAATGGATTTTAAATCCTTGGATCCTAGATCCACCAGCCCAAGCATAATTCTCCACAACGTAAAGCACAAAGGAGGCTTAGCATCGTTCACTTCGTGCCTTTGGGCTCCAAGGTCCGTGACGCCTCTTCCGGCAGAAAGCTGCACGTGTTCTTTTTTGAGAAAAGGATGAACAAAACAGGAGCCAGTCTTTGCCAACTGCTGTCAACTGGCACCAGCAGCTGTAGAAGAAATTCAGAAGAGCCGACCTCCTGCACAGTAGGATTTTAGCTAGGTCAGAGTGAAGCTGACCAGAAGCTGATGGACAACTGAAATGTTTTAAGATATTCCCCGAATCAGTTTTGCTGTGCAGCCAGTACCACAATGGAAGTTCACCTGTAACAGAGGGCAACCCTACTTAGTTTCTTCTGCAGATGCCAGCCTGACCCTGAAAGGAGAAAGAGAAGAGACACAGAAAGACGAAAGCAGGGAGAAAACACCTGTAACAGAGAAGGTGACTAACTTGGGCACTGCAGGGTATTTGTTCACCTTTTCTCATCCAGTAACAAATCAGTGATAATTTTATATACACTTCTTAGGAAGAGCTTTTTCATTCCATTTTGATATTCTGGTTCACTATGGAAAAAACCTGGAGCTACCTTTCAAAAGACTTCAGCAAAGTCAAGCTTCCATCACAACTAACACTGCCAGCTTGGAGGTTTCTGTATCCCAGAACATTACTACTGGTAGCAAAGGAATGCTACAGGATATATTAGTTAAAACCATCGTGGTTTTACTACGCAGAGACTTTTTTTTCCTCCGTGTCTCAACAGCCTTTACCACTCTGTTGCAAGGATTTTAAATATGATCTGAGCAAAACCAGGTACGCCGATCGAGTATAAATACCAAATATGGTATTTTGCTGATTTATTATTCTTGAAATTCCATGATGACATTCAATTAAGCAGGAAGATTAATATGGTGGCCAGTTACAGTGAACCTGTAAGACAGAAACCTAGCATCTAGAGTGAGACTAATGAACTCCAGCAGTGGAATTTGCAGACCTGGTATTATCCCACCATTTCAGACATAAATTTCACATCGGAATTCTTCATTTCATTAGGTAATAAAGAAGTGTAAGCCTGTGACTTTTGTTCCACAGTCCTATGATTTAGCTATTTTAACATCCTTGATACTGGAGGAGCTCTCCACTTGAAATGTTTTTTCAAAGAAATCCCGTAAGAAAAACAGCTGGTTTATATAAAATTAGTAACCAATAAATTCCCTTGACTTAAAATGTACTCTCTGTGTGACAATTCTAACAGGTCCTTAAAAATGTCAGAATAGCTTTCGTTCCACAGTGACCTCAACAGCAGGAAGTATAAGACAGACAGACGTGACGCAACGTACTTTCTTAACAGGGGGGATTACATATTTAAAGAGCTTGTAATTAAATAAACGTGGATAATTCAGGTTTATCACAATCCTTTATCTCTAATTAAAATATAAACACACGGGTTTTTTACCTCGCTCATTAACCATTGTTTCTGTTTGAGTCCAATATCTAAATGCTGCGTTTCATCCAAAATCTCTTCTAGGGTTAAGGGATGCGTATCACCACGCTGGTGCCGAGTCTGGAAAAGTAAACAGGATCTATTAGAGTTCTGTACTTGTTTTATTCAGTGCCTCAATTATCATTAAGTAACTACAACTGGTGTAACGTGCTGACAAAACGACTCTTGCAAAACCAGGACAGACACAGTACACGTAGCACAGGGGTTTCAATTTAGGATTTTTGAGAATACGAGGGAAAAAAGTTAGTACCAGCTGAGATTGATGACTGAGTCACCTGTCAAGCACCAAATTATAAGTTACTCTGATAAACAGCTCATGAATCCTAAAAGCTGACAGAGTTTTGCAATTCCTATTTCTACTGCAACTAAAAACCGTTATCCTGGGTTTTAAGTGACTTGGAATAATTAGGATTTCAGTAATGGAACAGTATGCTGACCGTTTCGTTTATTGACAGCGTTTTGAATTTAACAAGCAAGTTTCTTGAAATTCTCCCTCTTGCAGTAAAAGAATTTTCGAGTTTGAAATATTCAGCATCTTTCAGCGACCACAGGAGAAAAACTAACTACAGTATCTAAAACCATTTTAATTTCACACCAAAACACCGTACCTTCATATAATTCACTATTTTAGCGAGGACTCCAAATTTGTAGCCAGAGCCTCCCGAAAGGGCTTTCAAGTTAAACGATCCATTGCTGTGATCTACAAAAGGAGAAAACAAACAATTCAACGACGCTTTCAACACCACCTTGTTGGCTTTGCACTCCATCTCTCAGTCTACTTCCATAAGCGTTCCGAAAGACAACTATGGACGGAAAGGCATGTTTCAGGGGCGGTCACCTCAGAGGACACTGTGCTAGCAAACGCGTTGATTTTATTTTGTGTTGATTTTTGAGTTACCTGTCAAGAGACACTGCTCTGGAACACCTCTGAGCAGAGCTCCATAAATATGAAGTTACTGGGAGTCGACCTTTAAGGAAACACTGAGCAACTGCAGCGTTACTACCGTGAGTACACGTTTAATTCCGTGGCTGAACATATCACAATCGGTAACGCTACGTGAATTCATAGAATCATAGAATCATAGAATGGTTAGGGCTGGAAGGGACCTTCAAAGGTCATCTAGTCCAACCCCCCTGCAAGGAACAGGGATATCTCCAACTAGATCAGGTTGCTCAGGGCCTTGTCCAACCTGGCCTTGAACGTCTCCAGGGATGGAGCATCCACCACCTCTCTGGGCAACCTGTTCCAGTGTTCTACCACTCTCATAGTAAAAAATTTTTTCCTAATATCCAACCTGAACCTACCTCCCTCTATTTTAAAACCATTACCCCTTGTCCTATATTTCATTCACGTTGAAATAGTGCACTGCATTTTTTGCTCAACAACCAGCTCTACTGATGGCTTCGTGCTCCTGAGACAGGAGCAGCCAGTTTCACTTATTCCAAAATGGTATTCAACAGTTACACACCAGGTAAAGGAAGGCTGTGCTTGTTGTGCTGGGCTTTTTTTTTTTTTTTTAAAAAATAGCACTAATGGATAATTTATTTTAAAAAACCCCACACATTCAAAACAATTCAGCTTGATGTGTTGCACCACTGGAACAACAATTCAGAATCCTCTTTGTCGTCAAGTCTAGTTCTGTCTTCATGTATTGTGAGGTTTGCTAGTGTGCAAAGCTTGTTTCAAAAATTCTTGCAAGGTTGTTAATGGCTATTTCATTAACCGTGGCAATTAGCACAGCACAGGAAATGGAAATATCCACAAACCGCTATTGAAAGCCACAGACCTGTTACCAGCATAATGTTGCTCAAATTTAATGGTTATAGCTTTGCAGAATTTCAGTTACTCCACAAAAAGAACATTTCCTCTTCGCCACCACAGGAATTTTTTAATCCATTGGTGATTTTTCATCAAATCTGACAGGACATACGTGTACCAGAGATACTGAGCTCCTATTATTTCTGTGAAAAAGTCAGTCGAGGGGGAGAAAAGAACAATTAAAGTCAGCGTTATTGACCGAGGGAGAGGTTGCAGCGGGTGCTGAGCAGAGCTGCTAAGCAAAGTCTTTGCTCTGCTGGGCAGCTGGAAGGTATGGATGAGAGTGGTGATAAGGAGGAGAAGGCAGCTCAGGGGTTTGTAGTGGTGAGAAAAGAAAGAAAAAAAAAATCATTATATTCCAGCAAATGCATCTAAGATGCTCGACAAAGACCTATCGCCTCCAGCGAGTAAGCAGCAGGCTTAGAGAAAGTGTGTTACGCTCTTCACCATGTTTAAAATTTCGATGCCTTTGCCAAGCTCTTCACAGGAAACCCCAAAATCCATTTCCAAAGTCACTGTGCTTTAGATGAATTGTTTTCATGCCTGTCCCGCTGCATCTCAAACAACTTCAAAGTTGATCTGTGAGTCACTATAAAAGGCAACGACGAAGAGGTATTCTTGGATGTAGTCAAATTCCAAATTGCAATAATTATTGGGAAGGCTTCACGGAAACTGGTGCTAATATAGCAAAAACCATAATGCAGAAGGAACAAATGTCAAACCTAAAACCTGGCAACTCGGTCACTGCGAAGCCATTACATGGCATCGTGTTAGAGGCTCTGCGCAGCACGCCGATTCCAAAATTAACGTAGAAGAATCCACAGAACTCCAGCTACAAAAGAACATTCTATTCTATTATTAAATTAATTATTCTGTTATTACATTAAGATGGAAAAAGGAAGAAGAACAAAAGCCAGCTCCCCCTGAAAATACAGCCTACAGGGATTTTCCCCTCCAGCGCCCCCTTTTATCATTAAAAATTTATGTCTGTACAGGCCTTTTTATAAATAAATAAACACGTGTGTAACGAGAGGTCTGAAGCGACCGAAATAAATTCAGAGGCAAGACAAACAGCCAAGATGACTTATCCCATATTTGTTCTGTCGATTGAATCAAGCAGATTATCTTTTTAATCTGCCTGGCTACAGCCTGCTGCAGGGCAGGACGAGCCAACCTGGAAACGTGCAGATATTAACACTTCAAATGTCACGGTCTGAGCGGCTGCTTTCCGGTGCAAACCGAAGCGGGATGCCGGCTGCCGGTATGCTTCTCCGCTAATGAGCTCATCGCGCGCAAAGAGCATCCCAAAAAAAAAAAACAAACCAAGAGTGGGAAGGGGTTTGTTTCTTATTTAAGACAGCGAGAGCCACGTTTGTGAAATGATTTACCACTGGGATGGAGGGCTCGATGCAAATGAGTCTAAAGGAAGTCGTCAGCAGCATCACGCGTTGGCCAATGGTAGGAAAGCTCCATCTTAGCTGTGCCGTAGGCTGCGTTAAAAAAAAAGGGACCAGACCGGCGCTCGTTCAGCATCCTTTCAGCCGAGAGGTAGGTGTGCATCATTTTATAACGTTGCCTTCGGTTTCTCTCGATGACGGAAAGAAAATATGCCTTTAACGAGCTGTTTAGAAGCAGAATAATTTTTCTCTAGGTTTAAGCAGGGTTTTACGCCGCTGAACGCGGAGGTGCTTGCCTGGCACGACAGGACAAGCACTTTCACCATCTGTGCACTAATGGAAAATTGATGACCGCTCCATCTTACAGAAAAGCTAATATGGCAAGCCAGGATTCAGTAAGCAAAATGGATTTTGTGCTTACTGGGGAGGTAGCTTGGTTCCTGCAGCCTCACGTTCCTTGTACCAGATTCTATACGTTTCTACCGAAATGACAGCGACAGGATTTTCCTTAAAACAAAGACAGCTAAACCCGAAATTTAAGAAACCGACCTCCCAGGTGGGTGTTGGGTAAACTGTATCAATTAAGCTGCCTTAAACAGATTTGTGTTTGTGGACATGCTAGAATCCTGCTCTAGAAATTTGGTACATTAGGGTCTGAAAAAAATCCAGTTGCATGTTATTATCCCGGTAAATACTGGAGCAGCGATCGGTACCATGGAAACAGACAGGTAAGAACCCATCTGAGGTTTGTAAATGCTATTACCCCACGATGTCTACTCAGTGGTTTCTTAAACAGGACTTAAACAGTACTCCACTGAAATGATTTTTTTGCCAGTCATTTCCCTCTGCTCCATGAATACCATTTCAAATAAAGCTGCTCCTCTGCAGCGTCTGAAGATGATGATGCTTTTAAATCAAAACCTAATACAGATACTACAGAAGCCAATCCATTAAATATTTAACTCCCTGCATTTTGGACACGTACAGTAGCTGAACTGCATTCCAATGAGACTTAAAATAGGAATTTAAACTGTATTGTTACAAAATGAGTAGAACTGGATGAAACAAGACCATTTCTGACAGCTTTCAAAGACGCTGCCCTTACTAATGCTGCGTTCGTTCTGAAGGCTCGGCGACGGCTACTTCAGTCTTGTATTTTAATAATTACAGCAACGAGCAGCTGATATTTATCTGCCTCCCCTCATTCAAATCTCAAGAGACCATCATCATCCTCGAGAAGCACGAACCACCTCCGGCACAGGGCATTAAATTCCATCTCCCTGAGCAAAGATGAGCTTCTCGCCGCCGTGCAAACCGCTGCCCTAATGGTGGCTGGGGGGTGGGAAAGGGCCGGCTGCGGCACGGCGCCGGCAGCCGAGCGGCAGGGACTCCTGCCCGGGGAGCCACGCCGTGCCAAAGATGCTCCTCTCCTCTCGGGAACGGCGCTACCGCCTTGGCGGGGAGCTGGGCCGGCAAAGGGTTCCGGCTACGCAGTGTCAACGTGTCCAGTCTCTCCAGTAGCCTCCAACCTCCATGGCTTTTAGCAACGACTAAAATCCTAAATTTCCCATCAGCACAAACGGTTCACTTTTGTGCCTGGTGTTCACAGAGTGAGCAAACTTACACGTAACAGATTCCAACGAAATCCTCAGTCTTAGAGATCTGTTTCAACGGTTCAAAACACAACTCCTTTCTTTCCTGAGGACATTCTCTTGCCATTTAAAACAGGCATTTAAATCCTGCTTGTTTTAATCATCCCTCAGAGGGGACTCCAAATCCTTTTATTCAGCCTCCTGTCTCTTTCTCTCCCCCAACAGATTTTCAAATAAGCCTTCAGACCCCCTCTTCAAAAACCCCTCCTGACTTTCAGCCCCACCAAATAGGACAGCTGAGTTTCTTTCCCAGACCGTCACCAAACCAAGCCAACTAAACTCAGGAGTATTTTTAGTTTGGATTTGCTCTGTAAACTTCTGTTCAAGAAAAAAAAAAAATCCACAGTTTAATGAATCCTATCCCTCTCATTCACACTTTGTATATTCAGTTACAGATTTAACAGAGGAAACAGTAAGTTACTGCAAGCGCTCCAATAAATGTCTGTATCAAACGCTAACGCCAGGTAGCTTCCCAACAACAAAGCTGAATCCATTGAAGACAGAAGGATAAGGAACAAAACGTATAATATTTGAACCATAAATCACAAGCTGGTTTGGCTGCATCATCCTGGTTTTCACAATACCTTTTTTTTTTTTAATAACACGAAAATAACGACGGGTGCTCAGACTGCTTTAACTCATCCAGTTTAGTAGACACCAGCACACTTCACCTTTGTGACTTCCCATTTGGTCAGGCATTTTGTAATTCCCACTGCCTGAACAGGCTGATTGCAGAATTATTTCTGGGATACGCAAGGTTCATTAAGGCATTACCTGTGAGCACAGTTTAATGAAGGAAACATCAGCTTACCCCTTCATTCCGTAGTTTTGACTAGTGAGTGAAATTAAACTAAATACGGGTCGCCAGGACCATTTTCTAACAAACACAGCTAGGTTTCCACTTTTTGCTTTACGTTCGAAGCAAAAAAATCTTTTGTTGGAAAAGTCTCCAGGTTTCTACAAAGTTCTTGTCTCGACTTTCTCTTCCCCTTCCATAATCCCACGGTTTCGGGGGCGCTCCAGCAGACAAAAGCACATTTTTGCGAGCGGCCCCTCGGCCGGCGTGCGCTCGGTGACAGGCAGACATGCGGGGCACAGTGCTGCTTCCCACTGTGTTTCACCTAAAAACTGCTCGAATTCCCTCAAAGTTCTCCTCAAACGTTCCCTCAAAGGAATACGGAGATCTGACTCGATCTCCTTCTCCTGCACCCACTTCTAAATTGCCTGAAGGACTCAAAGGTTATTATGGTGTCCTACAATACGCTACGACAGGTAACCAGAAGTTGCTGCGGCTTCTTGGACATTTTTTATGGCATTAAACTATACACCAAAATGAAGATAATTTCCCCTCAGCTTTAGAAGGTAAAGTCAGGGAAAGAACGACACCGGGGCAGGGGGGAAAGAGACATGTAACTGTAAAGATGTTACAGCCAAACATCTGCCTACTTCTCCATAAGTCGCAGAGAAATTCCGAGACAGACAAAACTGCTTTTTTGTTCTGGATACACTACAGAAATTACTGAGGCACAGCCCACTTTCCCACTTTCCAGCAACGGCCCTTCCAAACCAGCACCTCTCCACAGCAATACCGTTCGTGCCAAAAGCGGATGTGCTGACACCAACTTCTTGTTTCATCTCTCCCCCACACCGCAAAGCAGTCTTGTCTTCTGCTGGGTACAAACAGATGGTGTTGCACCAAGGACGACACTCCTTTCCTAGCAGTTAAGCGAGGAACCCAGCTGAAAACAAGAAATCTGAACTCCTCAGGAGGGTTGGGGTTTTGAGTTTTAAGTTATTTTGTACTAGAAGGTCAGCCAAAAGTTCAGTTCCATTCTTTGGAAGCATCTCCCAAAAGAGTGACAACTTATCCATCTCTTTTTAAAGAGTGATTGCTTTGTCTCAAATAGGAGAAAAAAAACCTAAACCTAAACCAAAACAAGCCAACAAACTCCAATGACATTAACGTGTATTAAGTTCTTCCAATCACTCAGGTACGAGAGGGCCGTACACAGATCTCATTTTTCCCAGAATGCTGAAAAAACGATGAGGGCTTTCACAACCATGCAAGCTCCGACCTCAAGACCAATGACGGACAGGTCGTTGAACGCACTTGTATACCTTGAAAATTATCCTTGTAACCTTTTTGCCTTTGCATATACTTGAAATAAAGACACGAAGCGCTCTCATCCCAGACTAACTTACACTACATGACGCACGCGTGGACCAGTCATCACCGAAATAAACGTTCCAGACAAATCACAAAGTTGCACATTTGGCGTTTGGTACTTTTGTGAGCGAATATGCAACAACCCATGTCTATAGGAGGTGTGAGCACTTAGTCTCAGCCAAAGTTCTTCCAGTTTGGGATAAAAATCACAGCATGTTCTTGATCAACAGAGTCCTCAACAGCTTTGTTTTTTCTGTTTCAGCCCCCAGATCTGTGACAGCGAGCACAAAGACAACACTTCAAGAATGGCGACCCTCAACGCCACGCACTGGAACGAGACTACATCCGTTTCCCAGTATGTGGGCTTTCAAGTGCAGAAAATTTACCCTTTCCATGATAACTGGAACACTGCCTGCTTTATTATTCTGATCATATTCATCTTCACTGTAGTTTCTCTGGTGGTGCTGGCTTTCCTGTACGAACTGCTAGACTGTTGCTGCTGTGTGAAAAATAAAACTGTGAAAGACTTGGAGAACGAACCCAATCCCGTAAGAGCAATGATAAACAGCTTCAGGAAGCGTGAAACGGAGGTGGTGTAGGACGGACTGAGCAGCAGTGCCGGAAGAACGTTTGACACCTTCAATGAAGCCTCTTGTACCTTACGAATAAGCAAGCCACGTGCTTTTTGAGCAACGGTTATCATTTTATCTCTGGATGTGAACTTAAATTGGCAAAGGCACTCCGAGTGCTTTAGCAGAAGGATGATCTGTTGCAACGTTACGGGGGAAGAAAAGATTTTTTGTTTTTAAATGAACTTTTGTTGTTTATATTGAGTTACTAGCATAGATCTTTGTCTACCTGAATGTTGCCTAACAAGCATAAAACTATGTTGCTTAACTGGAGAAAACGTTTATAAAAATGCTCAACAACCCGATCATACACAGTGCAAAGCCACAACAGCGTCCCAGCACTGAGGGCAACCACACAGAGACAGGGAAGACATTCAAGGGGTGAGGAAAAAAAAAAAAGAGATAGGGTTGAATGGGGAGAGATTCCATGAAACAGGAGAGGCTTGTGGGAATCCTTGCCTTCGGCAGCTTTTCTTATCGCAGGTTTCTTGTTTTTAGAAGAGAGGGTGGTGGGAGGGAAAGTAAGCCAACATGAAACATCCCTAAAACGGTCTTTTCTAACCTCCCGTGGTACAATCTGACTCTTTTTCCCTCTCCTTCTCCAGTTCCAGAGAACTGCTCTCCCCGTACATCATATTCAACGTGTTTAACAACTTCTGGCTGTCGAGACAGGACTAACGCACTACTTAAAGAATGTCTGACTGTTTCCCCCCAAAAATACTGTAGTGGCACTACGGTCTAGAAGAAACAGGGACATTTTTCTGCCCCAAGGCTGCTGCCTCTGTGATCACCACAACACTACAGGGAGTCAGACGTGCCGGGTGTATCATCTCTATCTTAACTTTTCAAAGCTGAACTGGAACTGACTGGGTTCTTGCCAAGAACACAAGCAGACGGGTCGCGGAACTCCCGCACCGACGACAGGAATTTCATCCGGCCTGCGCGCAGCTCTCAGGTGTCGACACGCTTCCCAGAGGAGGCCACGTCAGGATAAGCCTTGGGCTAGAGACGGCAGGAGGGACGCACAGCGAGAAGTGACTTCATTTTGCACAAGGGAATCCCAGCTTGCTTCGTCCGCCTGCCGACGCATCCCAGAGCCTTCCCGCTCACGCCTTTCTCACAAACCGGCCGCGTTAACGCTCAGACCTCTCGCTCACCGGATTATTTTCTTCTTCTCCAGCTACGTCGTGTCTTTTGTTTTTAAAACCATCTAAGTTTTGTATCAGAAATTACAACTGTAATAATGGTGTCCGACAGCGTGGCCATCAGTAATGTTTGTTAAGTCTTTCGCACTCCTGAACCCAGAGAGAAACGTCCCAGAGCAAAGCCACGTGTGGGACAAGATGTGCTTTAGCTATATAAAACACAAATAATATTCCTGTCATTAGGGAAACAAAACCCACCTAATGGTCAAAGGGACAAGTAAGTTACAACGCCGATCTCGCAACGGAGCCGTGTCAGAAACACTTTTGTGCTACGACCAGTACCTATAACTATTTCTTTTTTTTTAATATGTAAACTCCTTCTATCAGGTTCAGTTCGCCTAAGCTCCAGAAGATCTGGACACAATGAAAGACTTATTAATTTGACTTGTGCTCTTCCTGGTTGGTGAGAAGGAGTCCCAAGACACCCAAGGCACTGCTAACCAGCACAGCTAGTCCAGTGATTCACCTGGAAAAGCAATTTCCCTCTTGCAATCCCAAAACAACACGACTACCGCTGCAATCGTTCATCTCAGCCACGCTTGTCACGGTGAAGTTTCACCAGTACCGGTCCCACGTGCAGACAAGGCTTTTAGGTAAAAATCAAACTATAAGCACAATTAACGGAATCTGACAAAGTACAAGAGAACTAAGGACTCGCCCTGAGATGTACGATGAAGATAACGTCAGTGATGATAAAGCCTTCTGCTCTCAGGGACGCTGGGCAGATGCCTCCTTACCTTCTGCCACATTTGACAGTGTCAGCCCTGAAAGACCGGTGTCCCGCTCCAACACACACTGGATTAATTAAGACGCCTCTTTCCTGAAAGCAAACGCTCCCAACGGCAACGAGGACTGCTGGCCACTCGCCGTGTTCCTACGGAACGCTCATCACGGCTGCACACAACGCAGTGTGCAGGAAGTAGGCGGCCAGCCTCTGCTACGCCGGCTTTGTCTTCTTGTGCCTTCCTGAGAAGCACACACAATGAAAATCTCGGGGCTCATTCCAGCTACTTATTCCACAGATCTATCCAGGGGGCTGGGTGTCCGCACGAGGCACAGAAGACAACGATGTCCCCTTGTACAGCCCTAGAGCCTCAGGACAATCCTTTCTCACGTGTAGACTAAGTGGTGAAACAGCTCCTGGAGATTTCAACTCTTGAGCACTGTTGGCTAAGACCCTCAAAACAAAGGTGTTAAGATAAAGACACCTTAGCCACAACTTACTATTCGTTAATAAAAAGAAACAAACAGATATGATCTATTTCGTTTATTTTCCAGTTACTATTCTGAACCGAGTAAACAAGGCAGTTCTGAATTTTTCCAAATAACTTGTTTGAATAACAATTTCAAATAACTATAGCAATAACTGCTCTCGCTGGAAAGTCTACAACCAATCTTCACATGCAGAGCAGATGTAGCTATGCAGTGATTTGAATATTAGCAGGATCTCAATGCCTCTCCTCCCCAAAAAAGTGACATGGGCAAGTTCTGTTGAGTCACAGAATCGCAGAACGAGGGAGAACCTGCAAGCGCTACGCACCCAGAGAGTATCAATGCCAGCACACATTCATTGTGACGTTATTTATTGTCTTTGCGGTCACCGCACAACAAAACTAGGACTGATCATCTTAATTTCCGTTTCTTCGGGGTGGGTGGGACAGGGATTCTTCAACATCAGATTTTAACTCCACCTCCCCAAGACCCATCTCTGACACACACCTATCCTGACAGGCACCTAGCAACCTGGCAATTCAAACAACAAGTGGGTTTTGAGGCCAAAGACACTGACTCTGCAGCATCACAGGGCCACTCGTGCTCCTCGTGGTTGCTCAAGACGTTCAGTGGCTTGCCAGCCTGAACGTCTGTTCTGAGCCAACTCTTAACAACCAGAGAAAGAAAGTTGGTCCGCTTGCTCTCTGTTATTTTTCTTCCATCCTTGCTGCCTCTGCAGTAGTTAGTAAATACTCTCCAGGGGAAAATGAAAGGCAACTGAACTCATTCTGCATGAAAACAGTCTAGAAAGCCTGAAACCTTTCTGATAACATCTGGAATGAGGCCAGCAGCATAAAAGATAAAGTGTTATTTCCTCACAGCCACACGTTCCTATTTGTGCAAGCTAATCATCTGACAGCTGCAAAAGCACTTAAAAAAATACCCAGCCCACAAAATCACAGAAACAAAATTACATTTTATTTATCTGCTCTGCTGCTTGGCCACATATCTACTCAAATCCTCCAGATCAGACTCACAAGTGAGCTGTCTGCCCTTTTCCTGCCTCCCCTTCCCTCTTTCCCAGCAAACTGCTTTCACTCAGGATACACAGTTTAGGACGTTCCATGTAGAACTTTATTTTGAGAGGAGAGTGTGGCAAAGGTCTACTTGATTTATTTTAAAATGTCCAGCTGGTAACTGTATTTGGTGCCCTGAGAAGCTGGAGATACATACACAAACTCCCTACTCTTCTCCTCAAGACAGAAGCCGCTCCGCTCCTCCCATCGTCCTTGACGTTTTTCTCTGCTGTTTTTAGCTCTGTTGCTTCTTTCGGAGTTTAGGAGAGCCACACGTGGTATTCACAATACGAGCGTGCAATCAGTTTGCACAACAAGGAATCTTGTGTTTTAGTAACTCCTGACATTTCGTTTTACTTCGAAGTGCATGTGGGAACTGTCGGTGCTTTCAGAGAACCGAAAAGGACCCCCAAGTTAGGCGTGAAAGTGAACAGAGAGCACGCCGCTGCGTGCACACAAATCCTCTCCGCGCTGCTCCAGCTGCTGCACTTTTCACTTGCTCTGACTGTTTTGGTGCTGCTTTATGAATGACTTATTCGATATTGAGAGATGTGTTATCAGCACCGCCATCCCAGGGAAATGACAAAGCTCCCGACCAAAGCAGACAGAAACCTCCAGAAGCCACGGTGTTCATGAATGAGGATGAGCTGCCAGGTAAAATCAGAACTAATCACGACACACTAGCCAGACAAGATGTAAGTTATAAAACCCATCTCATGGACGGATAGCACCAACATTTTTAGGTGCTGTTGTGCCAGAAAGACAAAAAGAAGGAGACCACTGTTACTGCTTGTCCCACGGGTCTAGAAAGCACTGAAATCCATAAATCAAAGTTCAGCTTCATACCAAATAATATTCTGGCAGTAGTGATTCCTCCAACCGAGTGAGAGCGAACAAGTCACGGGGTGAGGCTTGACACACATACACGGTAGCAAAAGAGTTTTTTTTCCCATTGCACAAGACAATTTCTTGACAAAAAGTGACAATTTAAGAAAAAGAACGACAAGAGCCACTAGCAAAACTCACAGACAGACTAATTTACACTACCAAACCACAGCTTAGAGGCAGACAGCAGAAAACAGCAGGCAGCTGTTTATCAGGAGACTTTCGCCCACCTGTGTTTTGTTTTGAGCTCGAGGAGCCGCCTTGTTCTACCTTTGCCTTCTTCTTTTTTGAGGAAGAGGAGTCAGAAGACGGCGCTGGACGTTTTTCTACCGCCGGCGTGGAGAGGGCACGCTTTTTGAACAGCTCTCGCTCTCTCAGTAAGCTTGGATCCATAATTCTGTTAGGGGAAGCCGGAGGAAAAAGGCAAGGAATAAACATTAGCGCCGACAAGACATTTAAGAGGAGCCATTCTGCCCACTAAGTTGTTTATTTCTTATTCGCACCCTTCTCTTCCCGCGCACAGGCTCTGCGAAAATCCCGGGGATTCCAAGCGCCGGAACACAACCTTAACCGCAGGGAAGAGCTCCAAGGGGGAACAGCCGG